CCGAGAGAAGGACCCCCCCCAGCCTCGCTGGGCAGCCTGTGCCAGTGCTCGACCGCCCTCCAAGTACAGAATTTTTCCCTCATGTTCAGGTGGAACTTCCCAAGTTTCAGTTTGTGCCCATTGCCCCTTAACCTGTCGCTGGGCACCACTGACAAGAGACTGGCCCCATCCTCTTGACACCCACCCTTAAAGTATTTATAAGCATTGATGAGATCCCCTCTCAGCCTTCTCTTCTCCAGGCTGAACAGACCCAGTTCCCTCAGCCTTTCCTCATCAGGGAGACGCTCCAGTCCCCTCATCATCTTCCTTTCCCTCTGCTGCACTCTCTCCAGTAGTTCCTTGACTTCCTTGAACTGGGGAGCTCAGAACTGGACACAGCACTCCAGATGTGGCCTCACCAGGACAGAGGAGAGGGGGAGGAGAACCTCCCTCAACCTGCTGGCCACACTCTTCCTCGTGCACCCCAAGATACCATTGGCCTTCTTGGCCACGAGGGCACATTGCTGTCTCATGGGCAACTTGTTGTCCCCCAGGACACCCAAGTCTTTCTCCACCGGGCTGCTCTCCAGCAGGTCAGCCCCCAGCCTGTACTGGTGCATGGGGTTATTCCTCCCAAGGTGCAGGACCCTCCACTTGCCCTTGTTGAACTTCATCAGGTTCCTTGCCGCTCAACTCTCCAGTCTGTCCAGGTCTCGCTGAATGGCAGCACAGCCTTTCAGTGTATCAGCCACTCCTCCCAGCTGGAAAATGAGCAATATCAGAAAAATGTTCCATCCATTTAACATGAAATGATACAGCGTACTCTACTGACTGTGCTACCTGTTGCCAGCAAACATTCTGAGAAATATCATCACTTGCAAACTTAAAAGCTTGCAGGTGGGGATATGCCTTGGAAGAGTGAAGGCTGTTTAGGCAAATTCATCTGAAGTATCCAAAATCTGAGGCATATACAATACTATTCAGAGATATCTTGCCTTTTTAAAACAAATAATTTTGTCAGAATGGGTTTCATAAATGTGTTGTGGGGAAGCATTTCTCGGATTACAATAGAATTTCCTGAGAAGATCATGAGCTAGCAAATAGCCTGGGACTGTTGATGAGGGTATTTGCATAAGTGAAATGGAAGCTGGGGCTCTGGCCCCACATCTACCTGTTATAGAGAAAGAAACCAGACAATAAAACAGGTATTGTAGTGGGAGGTGGATTGTTTGTACTTCATCTCCGGTGAAGTCATGACTTAGAAAGTACTCTCAGTCCTTAACTGTTACGCAAATGTAAAGTGGAGCCATAGAAGAGAAACAAGTAATTATGTATTACTCATTGTTCTGGAAAATCCAAGGCTTCACTGCTGAAAGCTAATCATATTTCCACCAAACTTCCTGGTATTTCTCTGAACCAAAGGAAGATAGTCATGACCTAGATCTGTATTGACCGAGAATTTGAACATTTCAACTCCACTTTCAGAATATGCGGTGTTCTACATGGCAAATGAACATTCTTTGATGCATTTATTTTCTAATTTGTGACTACATCTAGTGTCTAGATTCTGCACATACAGCGATACTGGGCATTTTGGGAGAGCGTAGGGACATCTGAGATGCTCTACACAAGCTATCTGGGCTATCAGAAGTTGGCTAGTCACTGTTGTGAGTGCAGTGTACATGCAAAACACTGAACTTAACTGCTTCCAGAAAGTAAGCGGGATCAGTGTTAGTTGGAAAACTTTACATTGCCCTGCTGTGTATATGTGCCTAGTGTAAAAGACAAGGAGAGGACAGGTGCATCTGATGTGATAAAATGAATTGGCAAATTCAATTTTATTTGAAAGAAAACTAACTTGTGAAAAACATGTTTCCAATGCAACTGCAACAATCATCCCTCTGACTCATCTAGAGAAAGAATGGAGGAGAAAAAAAAGTATGTGTATACAAAATTTCTTCGTAAGAGAGCAAATGTAGTAACTTTCTGAAGGCTGGACTGAATGAGTTGAAGACATCTTGACTGTCTGCTGTTCAAAGAGCATGCAACATGACTCTACTTTCAAAATTGAGTATACATGCGATACTGAAGTCTGTATTTGCATTGCTTTGGTCTTCAAGTGCATTTAGCATAGTTCCTCATTTCATCAATTTTCTAGCCAAACTATGATCTCCAATTACATCTTTCCTTGTGCCAATACGAAGCAGGGTCAGTCTAAGGTCAGCAAATTGGTTTATATGACATTCAGTATCAAGGTATCTTCTGTGTCTGTCTTTTAACAGCTGCTTAGTGACAGGTTCATTATCTCCCCCATGCTAAATCCTGATATTCGTGCTTCCAGATGATTAATCCTCTCCTGCTCCTAGCTTCTTAATCATACAACACAAAACTTCTTTTTCCCTCCTACCAATTACAACTGGAATAATTTCCTCATTGCACTGTGGTCTTCTTAAGAATTATCCTTGAATTGGTAGTGTTGTGCATAAAGATCTAAGCTTACTTTTTTGTATTGCTACAATAAAAAGAGATTCTCTGGGATCAGTAATTTCATTAAAGTAATGAATTCAATAGCTTGTTTCCAGAGACAAATGTGCTCTTCAATTGATCTGAACATAATGTCTTCCAAAATTTCAGTTTTTCAAATGCTTTATTTTTTCCTTTTCCATCTCCATCAACAAGAAAGCCCTCTTACATTCATGCTCAAGGCATGCTGCACTTAAATAAAAGATGAGCTTCTGGAGGAATTTGCACCAGGGCACTGGAATTGGTTACTATTTCCTTCTCCCTCCTTAATTCTTTTTTGCCTATTACTTAGTACCTGTTTAAAGTAAGGCATGGGGTCTGAGGCATTTCAAAGCTGCAAATACAAACGTCTGTGACATATTCTTAGCTGTCTTCTGCCCTCAGTATAACTAATGCAACGGCTTTCTTCACAATGTGACTGCCCTGTTTGCACACCACCCATCTGCCACACAGCATTGTCACTTTAATGTCAGGTCATTCTGGGAAGTTTTGTGCAATTTTTCTCACTAGTAACTCTGTGGCAACAGACAGTATCTCCTGGGGTAGTTTTCTTTGTGTCCTAACTTGATCATCAGATGGGTAGGTAAGCTGGTTAGACATAGGTAGTTTAGGGTATCACCTATGCTGATAGAAAGAATAATCCCTGTATGGCTGAATCATTAGCAAGAATGTATTATATCATGAGAAGTGAAATTGATAGAATCTGTTTTTCAACAGTCCCACATTCATTTGTACCACATCACTATAATAGTCCTCATTTCCTTCTCATACATCTTAACACTGAAATAACTTCGGGTCCACTCTGCATTGCCTAACACATTTTCAGTGCCCCTAGCTCTGTTCCATGTCCCTAATTACTCCTACAGTATACTCAACTTGCTCTTCCTATTCATCATCTGTTTGGTTGAGGAAGAGGAAGAGGAAGAGGAAGGGAAATTGCCTGTTACTTCCCCTAGGTTGCAGTTACAAACATGTTGATTGGCTAACTGATTTTGGGTTTTGTTTGTTTTTTTTCTTTTCCTATATAAGAGTGCGAATGCAGTCTCCCACTGCTATAGATTATTTAGTTTCCTGTGTTCAGGCTGTATTACCAAAAGTGTAGCAAATACATCAAGGAAATTGATTCTTCCCCTCTATTCAGCAGTTGTGAGACCATAGATGAAATTCTGTGTCCAGATCTGGCTCCCCAGTACAAGAAAGGTGTTGGCAGACTGGAGGGAGCCCAGTGGAAGATCACTGGGATGGTCATTCGCTGGAACAGAACTAGAGAAAGAAGCTAAGACAGTCTCATTTATTCAGCTTGGAGAACCAAAGGCTAAGAGGGGACATAATGGCAGTCTTCTGCTACGTAAAGTGGGAAGGCAGAGAGAGATCTTCTCCGAGGTGCACAGTGAAAGGACAAGAAGAAATAGACAGGAAATTCTGATTTAAGGGAAAGAATCTTCACAACATGGATGGTTAAGCATGGGAGCAGATGTCCAGAGATGATGTGGACTCTCCATCCTTGGAGATCTTGAAAACATGCCTGGACAAGCTTTGAAGATAGTCCTGCTTAAAAAGAGAGATTGGACCACATAATGTCAGAAGATCCCTTTCTATCTAAATTATTTTATGATTCTATATCTTGATTATTCTGAAACTTCTCAGATTTACTAAAAACTCACCAACAGGCTTGAAAGTTGTTTGATGGAGGGAGCAGGGATGGGGAGAAAAAGTGGACAGACAGATGAGTGAACAAAGTAATGCAATCAGATTCCTTTCCCTAGAGATATGCTTGTCCTGACCACTGGCAAAAATGGTAGAAAACATCATTCCTTGCTGAATGTTACTGTGTGCAGTAAGAAACCCAGATTACGATTACGAGTTTCCTTCTGTGCCATAGCACGTGCAGCTATAGTCCGATGCTGTTATTATTACTGCCCAGGCCACTATGCATACATGTTATGATTTCTTCTGTTTTGTGAGATGTATCTACAGGAGATCTTCACAGAACAAGGAAATACTTAAGCAGTGGCAGATACTAACAGGTTGAAACAGTAAGGAACCTTCAGCCAATAACATGATAATCAGAGGAGTAAGCTTCAATAAAACATTCAGACGGGCAGGAACCGGTTTAGCTTGCAATACCTCACAAAGCTATGAGAAATATGAGATCTATTGTTTCAGAGTTCAATGAGTGTGAGAACAGACAGCAGAGAGGAAGATGAACCTATGCAAATTTTATGTAAGTAACTTTTATTAGAACATGATTGAAGCTGTGGAGGAGGAGCACTATCTCAGGCCAGTTTAAAAGCCAGAAGACAGGCTGTCCACTTGAGATCAGTCTCTCCTCTTTCTTCTTCACGGACAGAGATGTGGTCAAAGATTCTTCTGAGTATTTTGTCCTTGAACTGGATTGCCACAGTATCTTCTGAACCGTAAGAGATCATACATTCTGTGTTTTTATGATAACTTATTTTATTATATTGTATTTCCCACCAGTTTGTTTTTTTCTGGGACACTGCTATCTAATAAACTGGATGTTTGAGACCTAATGTGTCTGAAATGGAAGTAGATGACATTGAAGGATGATTTGGAATGATGCTCTCCATCATAAAACTGCTATAAAATCTGATTTGTATGACAGAAACCTAGAACTGCAGTAGGGGAAGTCTGAAGTGCATGGGTAAAGTGGGGAGGAGATTCAAGACTAGACTAGCAAGTAATGCTAATGGTCAGGATTGATATGCATCAGCAGCACAGAGAGAGAGGCGGGTATGAGAAGGGGTTACAGGCCAGATCGTGGCTGGTTCTAGGGACTAAACTGAATGGCAATCCTAGTATTAGTATTACTATAAGTAAGAGTATTACATCCGCTGTGCTGTCACCACTTCTATAACACTGCCAATGTCCATGACTTTACACAAACAGAAGATTTTAGCCACGATTTTCAAAAATACACCAACATTAGACCTTAAATCCCCTTCTCAAAAGTTCTAAAGAAAAACACTGTGAAAGTCAGAGGGTTTAGCTTTCTCAGACACACTGTTGGTTTTAATCATTTTACTTTTGGTCTTTGAGTATCATGCAGTCTGAACTGGGCCAATGAAAATAAAAATAAAGGCAATATAAGTAAGCAAAGCTGTGGGAGAAAAAAAGGGAAAGAATCAGATAACTGAGAAAAGATTGTGCAATTCATGTTGTGCTGCAGAACCAACTGATCAATTCTGTCATACATTATTTGGAAAGACTAGTTTGGGCAGCAGAGAACTGGCAGCCAGCGACTGAACCTTAGCCAAATACAACAAATCTGAAGGAGTGTTTTTCAGAGAAAGGATTTGGGGAAGGGAGGCTGCCCTAATTATAGAGAGCAGTATAACTAAAAAAACCTAATGGAAGAAAGATGCAAAGGAAGCAACACAGGGAGCGGCACAGAAACAGAACAGAGCATGCAGGTTAGACTGAGAGTTCCCTGGAATATTCTGCAGAATGGAAAAGCAGGATCATTTCTTGTGCATTATGCTGATCGACTTATGATATGTCAGTTCTTATCTGGAGGCAAAGATATCCATAGAAAAATGAATAAAAAATTTATTGCAACCATTAACTAGTATTTTTGTTATTAATATCAAAAAGAAGCCAAATATCAGTCCTTCTTATGGGAGGTTCCAGAGATTTTAGTACACATATAGGTCACGGGAGGATAAATGCAGCTATGCTTGCTGGGTATTTAGACACTTTAGTGATTGGAACTGTGTAAATACCTGGAATGGAAAGATGCAGTACCATGCTGGGTAAGAGACTGCATAGAATGATGCCAGTCTTTCTGCTCAGAAAGAACTGTGAGGAACAAAAAAATTGTCATCTTTACTTTCTTAGCATATTATTCAAAACTGATTGAAAGAAATGGAAATCCTTCCACTGGTTTGAGCAAGCTTTGGACCATCTCTTCCTTCACACGTGCATCATTTCTGTGGTATTTTCCTCTCCCATTTGCTCTGACTTTCCTTCACGACTGGTCTTGCCTTCTTACAGTCAGTATGTGCTGCTGGTCCCGGCAGTAGTGCGCAGCGACTCTCCACAGACTGCTTGTGTACAGTTCCACAGCCTCAGTGAGCCTCTGTCCCTGAGCATCATCCTGGAATATGGCAGTATCCAGAAGACTCTCTTTGAGGAATTTGTGACAAAGAATGATTTCTTCAAGTGCTGCGAGTTCAAGGTATTTTCTCTTTTGAGACTACTGAAGAGGGTATAGAAGCTGGAAATACTTCTGAGTGCAACTCTCCTTGTCAGTGAGGACAAGAAGATGAAGAGTGTGGGTAGGGAATAGGACAAAAAAATATAAACTGCTGTAAAGGCTGACAATATAGACAGGAAAAAGAAAGACATATGGGTTGTAGGGGGAAGCTGAAGAAAGACTTTTCATCTCCATTCACAGAGTGACTAGAAAAAAGCTTTTGCTTGCCATCACAGGTGCTTTCCTGTCACTCTGCAAGATCTCGACAGATATGACAAACAAGTCCCAAGGTTAGGTCTTCCAGAATGTTGCAGGAGAAGACACTTCAGAATTGAACTATATGGCTCGGCACATAGGCAGATAGTTACATGAGATGAGGAAACGCATGGGACAGAGCATAGCTTAAATCCTTAGTATCTGGTGACACATTATGGGACTTCCACAGAAATTCCCAGAGACTACCTCACTGGCAAAGACAGGGCTTCACATGACTTTGCAGGAGCTATGTATGACTCACTGGACAGTCAGTATCTTACTCAAGAACCCTGGGCATCAGAGGACCTCAACATATCTCACTTACCACATTTCCTCTGGGGTTTTGTTTCTCTCCAGGTTCCTCCTGCTACTTCTGACCCACTGGCATTCATTTCCTTCTCTGCCAAAGGCACCACAGTCAACTTAGCCGAGAGAAGATCAGTGGCAATTCAGAATGTGGATAATACTGTCTTCATCCAGACGGACAAACCTGTCTACAAACCAGGGCAAAAAGGTGGCTGAGAAGTTTGAGTCAGCTAGTGGGCTGGGAAACTGAATGCAAGGGTGGGTCTAGAACGAGAAGGACTTCGTCTTGTGGAATAAAAGACCATGGACTGCGACAGCCATGAGCAATCCTTCAGATAGTGTATAGGTGTCATTTGAGGTTAGGCTCATCAAAAGTCAGTGAAAAACAGAATCGATTCACAAAATTGCAACAAATGAGTACAGTTCATGTGTTTTCACTGAGTTAATTTCATTTACAGGATCTTCAGTTCTGCCAGGTTTGCTGAGGTCAGTCACATAAAAAGTGTCCTTAAAAATACATAAAATAATAGGTTAAGCTTGGAATTAATAAAATACATACAAAAATAAAGCAAGCATCTGATTTCCTGTCAACAGCTCTTCCTACTTAACTGCTAATCTGATTCACAGCACTGATTCCATCACAATATTTACATGACAGTACTAGCTGTGGTATAGTTAGGTATCTCTTTAGTATAATCATACTACAGTGCTGCACAGGATTTACATTTAGAATAAAGACAAATTCTTCCTTCTCTTTGATTTTTTTCATTGAATTGGTTTATATAAAACATTTTTTTATGAGACAGTCCAAATAACTGAGTCCTTCAAGAAGAACTGAAGGCAATACAGAGTATTTGTATTTCTTATAGTGGTTACTAAAGTCCCAGTGCGTCAGAATTGAAGATATTTCAGCAGATAATTTATTTTGGTTTCCTTTTTCACTGGCTAAGATAATAAAATCCTTTCTAGTTCTCTAAGGACTCCTTAGATCTCCCTAAAAGCCTAGGCAAACTTTATTTCAGTTGTATATTGAAAGTGATTTACCACTGCTAAAGTAAATGATCCTTTTTTGTCCTGTGTCTTTTTCAGTGATGTTTCGTGTGGTTACTTTGGACACCCAGTTCAGACCTGTTCAGGAGACAGTAAGTATGAGTGATACTCAAGATTTTTCAAGCACCCTCTTGAGGTACCTGTTCACTGAGACTCTCTCTCGTAGACATTGAATAAAAAGGGCTTGGGATAGGCCTCCTGATGTTTTTGGAGAACTGTTGTAACTTCTTAGCTTCACACTCCATCCTTTCTGTGCCTTTATAGAAGGTGAAATGTCTGAAAGCACTCCTGAAAATCTTTCGCAGCACTCAGATTTTGTAGTAATTTCATTTCACCTGCCCCAGATATGTAGAAAGAGACTGGATGCTTTTGCAGAACAGATAAATTCACAAACAGATTATCCTCTTAAAATTAAGTCTTTAGTTATACACGAGTTTCAAATTGTTTCCTTGGTCCAGTCTTCTGTATCCAGAGAAAGCTGTTCACAGTCTTCTTTATGTTCTAGCATTTCTCAAGCTCCACAGTTAATTTCTTGATATTTTGATAATTTTTCTTTCGTTCTCTATTTTCCTCCTCCAGTATCCCCGAATCGTCATTCAGGTAAGAGATGCAATATGTCATTAAAGCACAAGTTACTTTGAAAAGACTATGCTTCATCATTCCCCATAATGTCAATAGCTGAGGGACACTCATCCAGAGCACATCGTATAAAGCCAATGGACTTGAGGTTGAACAGTGTTGATACCCATTATCAAACACTAGAGGAAAAATCAGCAGAACTGGAGATGTTAGTCAGAGATGGCATGGGGTTGTTGCTGTGTCTTTTGTTAGGATTTGAACAAGAGTATTCAATGTAGTCTTACTTTGGCAGGACTGCAGTAAATGGGCTGGTGAAATAGCCTCATTCTCATACAAGCATGAGAATAGTAATTTTCTGAAATGTCATGTTCTGCTGGGGGACAGGCTAACAGTGAATCAGTCTTCTACCACATTTCACATCACTAGATCTCAAAGCACTTTCTAAAGGAGGCCGGCATAATATTCCTGTTTTACAGAAGGAGTTAAGTCAGAAAGACTTATGCTAGAAGAGCTACAGGTAAGCAATCTGAGTCCCAGTCGGGTACTAATCCTGGGTGATCTGAGATCATCTGGCAGTGTAGCTAATTTCCAGTTAAACACAAACTTAGGCTTGTTTAATCCACAAACAGATCTGGAAAATTGATGGGAAATCAGAGCACATGTCATCAGCCCAAACTCATATTCACCCTGTGATGCACTTAGTCCATGTGCCAGAGTATAAAACTTGAAAAAAGCCAAAAAGTCAATAAACAGGGTGATAAAGGTTTTGGTACATATCTTTCTCTCGCTTGCCAGGATCCAGAGGAAAACGAGATCTTCCAGTGGCTGGAGGTAACATCTAAGCATGGCATTGTCCAGCTCTCCTTTTCACTAATCCCGGAGCCTATTCTGGGGTCCTACCACATCACTGTGGAGAAGAAGTCAGGTGAAAAAGAGTACCAATTCTTCACAGTGGAGGAATATGGTAAGCAAAGTCCGTGAACTGCCCTGCACCACCAGTGAGGCTGGCTCTGTCTGTCAGACAAGAGCTGCTAGAGCAGAGTTTAAGTGCTTTGAATTCTCCACTTCATGCCTGAGAAAGAAAGACATGGAGAGAGATGTGTGGAGAAAGTGAAGGCAAGAAGGGGAAAAAATGCTGAGAAAGGCAACCTTTTTCAGGAATTAAATTAAAAGTCTAATTCTTTTCTGGGCTTAGTCACTGTGTGACTTTGGGATTCACATCCTGTCACTCCGGCCTTACACACCCCTGATCTGTTCAGAGGCAAAATGAATGAGTCAGTCAAAATGAATGTCCTGTTTTGTGGAGGTCACCACCATATGAAGAGCACTGGGATAAAATATGCAGTAGAAATCTGAAGATATTATCTATCAAACAGATTAAATGACAGGTACCAGATTGTTACTGGTGAAGGCTGGATACCCAGTGGAAGCACAAGATGGACAACGGTGGGTAGTGGAGTGCCAAAGCCCTCCTAGTGGTCTGTTTACTCTCTGGAATAGACCATATCAAGGGAGTTCCTAAATTCATTTTGATTTTACAAATTTTCTCATCTTATAGTGGCAGGTTTTCCTTAGTAATCCCCAGTGAAAGCTTGAACAACTCCCAGCTGGTTTGTTTTTTGTTTTGTTTTTTTTTTTTTTTTGTAAGGGCAGTAAAGCACCTTTCCTGCTTACCCTTCAGAGCTCTTTCATACCTTCCAGTCTCCTGTGTACAGGCGTGCAAGAAAAAGGCCTTTTCCAGCTATGTTGTCATTATTGCTGGTGACCTGGGACAAAATATAAGATGAAAAGAGAGTGACATGACCTGTTTGATTTTACTCTTTGATTTATCTGTTGCCTTTCTCCTTCAATGGGGCTGAATTGCATAATAACTTCTGTTGTCCAGGGTTTAACTAATGTGACACATCAGCATTACTCCCACCAAAACAAGCTGTTTCTTCAAAATGTACAGCCAATTAAAGTGATTTATCACAGTTCTTACTGTGTTTTTTATCATTATTAGTATGATTATTATTGTATTTTACAGAAGATATTAATCTTACCACTAAAGGTTTTTTTTTTTTCCCCGATAATATCCCACAGTCAGCTCCTACATACACTTTTCTTTGGACCATTTCCTCTGCCTTGTTGGTGAAAATGCATTTGCCAACTGTTTTTTTACAGTCTTACACACACACACCTGCTTATGGTGTGCAACTGCTAATCATATTTACATTGCGTTCCCAGTGCTGCCAAAATTTGAAGTGACAACCAGTGTGCCAAAGAGGATTTCTTTCTTTGATGAAGAAGTCAGGGTGAATGTTTGTGCTTCGTAAGTATCAGAGCTGAGAACAACACACTTGTCCCCAGGAAACACAGGATAGAGGATGGTGTGCCATGCTGGGAAACAGAGACCCTGCTGCTGATTCAGAGTATGGTTAGAGCAATTCCTTTAGCTATGAAGTCCATGACATGAAATATGATAACTCTCCTCCTGCTACATAGCTGAACTAGAACTGGGAGAGTTTGTGTGTGTCTAACAGTTTGAAAATAGCAAGTAGTACATAATCACTAGCTGTTGTTTTTTATTGTTACAGAAAAGGAGAGAAATAGTACGGAAGGAGAGTCTGTCATTAAGATTGCTGGCTGTGACACTGTCAAAGAGCAGGGTGGCATGAGATAAAGAGGTGAATAGGGATCTTTCTGCAATATGTCCTGCTTTGCGTAAAGCATTAATGAGAAAAAGCAAGCAAGGGAATGATATCCCAACCCTGAGTCCAGCACCACTTTCCAGCTTCAGACCTTGAAGGATGACTACACCAAGACAGTGGTAAAGCAGGCTTTTTTAACAAGATGCCAGAAACAGTCTAAAAATAGTTGAAGGAAATTCTGCTAGGGCTAACTGGTCCTAATTCCCAGCAGCTCTTCCATCTGTGCTCTGGGCACTACTGAGGGGTTTAGATTCTGCATTGCTCTGCAAGATTTGCAGCTTTCATGCTATGTCCACATGATTGGATTCTTGTGTCTTTTCCCCTCCTAGGTACACTTATGGCCAACCAGTGCAAGGAAATGCCCAAGTCAATGTGTGTAAGCAGCGCTATTATAGTCCACAATGTGAGAAAAACCAGAAAGCAACCTGCGAAGCTGTCACTGGACTGGTATGATACAGGGCAAGGCCTTTCTTACCAGTCAGCTTTACCACCCAACATGTAGCACAGTGTTTGGTGGCCTCATTTGTCTCCTGGGGAACACCAGAAAGACAATCACAGAGGCATGTTTTTTTCTCACTATCTCACAGGCAACACTGAAGGACGACAAATGTAGTTTTTGCCAATGACCTCATTAGGAGACTTTGATTCTTCCCTCAGAAAGAGTCAGTAGAAGGGAGACAAGCTTATGAAGCTGTAAATCTCTGATCATTCCTAAAACACTGGAACTGTGTGCTTACCACATCTAATCAGCAGACCTCTACTGGGAGTCTTTGAGGACACTTTATGTTAAACCAATGACTCATTTCTCCACTAGATCAGACTAAAAGTGCTTTTGTCATAGAGCTCAGGCATAATGCAAGATGGGTTTAAGAAGGAGCATGAGTACAGACAGGACTAGGGGGAATGAGGAGAGAGGTTTCCAGGTAAAAGGGTAAATGCTATTGAAACAATGAGCTGGGAAGGCAGCCAGGGAATCAGAAGTGTAAGATAGGAGGGGAGCGAATAGAAAGGAAGAGTTGAAGAAGATGTGAGCAGAGGCAATGAAGCTCTTCAGAGACCCACTAATATAGATTCAGGAGCAATTTTCAAAACCTTGAGAAAAATGGGATTTCCCCTTTGTGTTCCTTTTTCAGCTGGGGAAGGATGGCTGCCTCAACACTATCATCTCCATCAAAACATTCCAGCTCTACCGCAGCTACGGCAGGATGTATACCAGTCTCAACATAGAAAGCATCATCACTGAAAATGGGACAGGTAACACCAAGTGGAGGTTGGGAGTATCTGAGTAAATCTAACAGGTGGTACTTTCTAAGAGGAATCTCCTCGATCCCAATCTGTGTGGCAAACAACCAACAATCACCATTTTCTCTGTGTAGCTCTCCCTCCAGAGCATCACTGCTCCATATAGCTTTTCAAAATAAATAGTTTTCTACCCATGTCTGATTTATGTTTCCTCCACTTTATACTGGATATGTCTCACAGGCATCCAGATGAAAGACTATGACTATGTTGCAGTCAACCAAGAAAATGACAGAGTGATGTTCAAGAATATGGATCTCTATTACAAGAGGGGAATTCCTTACTATGGTGAGGTGGGTATCTGAGAGGATACATTTAAGTCAAAACTCCCTGAGGTGCATCATGATGATCTCTGTGTTGCCCCATTTATGTCTGTCCCCTAAATCTGTGCTGACAACTTCCCGTGATAATGCTGCATAACAATGCTGTATAGTTCTCTCGTTACATTAGATGCTCCTAGAGAAAATAAGAAAATTATATCATACCTGGATTGTTAGGATCTCTCTTCTGCCATAGTTAGAGAATGCCTAAAAGGTGGGTAAGTGAAAGGTCATACAAACAGGGAAGAAGAGTCTGAAAGAAACTACTGCAGCAGCAGCTGTGCCTAAACTGAAGGTAGAATTTCCCCTGCCTCGCATCACACAATCCCAGGGATGTTTACTTAAAGCAGTGTAGGTGTTGCAGCACATTCTGACTTCTTAGCAACATGCATACACAGGATAAACCCTGGCACAGAAAGGAGGATGAGCTGTACAGCATCGTCCTGATATGCAATAGGGACAGAGGGTATGCACAGATGCCTAGGAGCTGGGAGGTGCTACTGAGCTGCACAGGTTACCTGCGGCCATGAAGTCATCTGATTGCTTTAGGTTTGTTAATCAGTGCTCTCCAGAGTACGTGCTCTGGAGTTCCTCTGTTTCTTTTTGCTCAGGAAGGGAGAGCATGAGGTAAGAATTTAAACTATCACCTCTCACTCAGTAGTCTTTAACTTATGTCATGGTCCACTGAACTAATGGTCACTGAAGAGAAACAGAGGACTTATTAAAAGAATATATTATATGAGATTATGTATATAAACAATCCCTTCTCCCTCTGTGACATATAATTCGTCCTTGCATTGATGGGATTTACCTGCCTTTGCCAGCCACAGAACTCCTGCTCCTTCAATATATTTGCCTCTTAAATATATTTCACTTTGATTTCTACCCCCTGCAATTGTCCTCAGTGCTTAAGTGAGCATCCTCTGGTGAGCAGAGCATTTCCTGTTCTTTTTGTTGTTTTTTTTTTCTGAATCCCTTGGATATTCTTTGTGTTCAGATCACTGTGACAAATGTGGATGACAAGCCCATTGCTGACAGGACTGTCCTGCTGGAGCTTAATGAAAAATATCTTGCCAACTATACCACTGACAAGAACGGCACTGCTGCTTTTTCCCTCAACACTTCTGACTTCTTTGATCCCAGTTTTAAGTTAACAGTAAGTAAATACAGGCTTCAGTCTAATTCCTGAAAAAATACTTCATTGGAGAGAGGGATTAGAAGCAACTGGTGAGTGCTGGCAGGATTGTTTCAGATGAGGAAAGTAGGCAGTCAGTCCACCAACACCTGCAACCTGTATGAAACAAATAGGAGAAAACACCAGTGCCTGAGAAGTTGCAGTCCGCACCCCAGGAATGTTTGAGCTGCACCTCCCTCCTTTTCTCTCCATACAGAAGGCCTTTCTGTGGCCATCTTCTTTCTCTTTATTCTGTGCACTAAAGGACCTGCCCTACAGACTGCCTTGCTGTCCCCACCCAGCCTGGTTTTTCCCTGCTGCTGCCTGCTTCCCTGCATTTCTGCTGGCAGAGACTCATGCCTGTTAACATCACATAGTCTTCTCATGTTGTCATGCTTTTTCTCTGGTGTGATGGGAAGAGCTGAGAAAAAGAAGGCTGTTTGAGAACAATGCCATTCTAATTAACAATAAGTAGTTTATACAATCTGTCCCAAGCCTGCAAGAATCTGAAATGACCTCCCTACTGCAATGTGCCATAGGTGTCTGGATACATTAAGGTGTCCAGAAGGCCCTTCGCTCTGGATTGGTGAAGCACAAATTTTTCAGACCAGCTCTTGCTCTCGGCTTAAACAGCCCCACAAAATCATCTTCCCAAAAGAGTATATTAGAGGGAAGATGCCTTTGCCTCTCACCTGCCTGCCATTTTGTATTTTCCTTTTTGTTGATTTCCCGTGTATGACTCTTCTGCTTCATAGGTCAGGCAGGCACCAGATGACTGTGCAGACTTCTTCATCTGGAGGAATGACAATGAGCCGCAAGCCTTATTCTTTGTCCGACGTTTCTACTCACGGACCAACAGCTTTGTGAAAATCGAGCCAGTGAATGAGGAGCTCAGCTGTGGCCAGCGGCGAACAATCAACGTTCACTATGTCCTGAACAGAGAGGGTTACAAGAATGCCAGAAACACAAACTTCTACTATGTGGTAAGTGCTACCTTGACTCCCAAAACATCTCTCGTCTTTCACCTTCTCTTGAACACGATATAAGTCAGAATTCTCCAGACCAGACAGTGGTTACAGATCACAGTTTGACTTGATGGCCTTTGAAGCCTCTCAGAACACAACTCAAAATCAATGATTTCATGGGGGAAGGGAGGAGGTGCTTTTGATCCTGTCTTATGAGTTTTTTCTGTGCCCAGGTGATGACAAAAGGGAAAATTGTTCTCAGTGGCCAGAAGCAAGTCAGCATCTCTGGTGGTAAGTTCTAGACCATATTACTACTGATACTTCAGAGAATCGTTCTGACCACTAGAGCATTAATAAGTTTTGTAAGAAGAGATGAAAGCACTTGTTTTTTTAAAAGTGCTGGTAGATTATGCATAAATATGTGATCCTTCCACTAAACCTGAGTCTAGTCTAATCTCTTTTGTTGGCTTCTCCTTCCCTGTTTCATGTTCCTTCCACAGTTCCCAGAGGTACATTCTCCATCACACTGACTGTCACAGAGAAGCTTGCCCCCAGTGCCAGACTGTTGCTCTACACAGTGCATCCTCACGGGGAGATAGTAGCAGACAGCTCCTGGATACGCAGCAATGTATGCTTCAAAAACAAGGTGAAAACCTTTGCTTTCTTATTAAGGCCTATATTAGCTGGGTCTTTGCTGAGAGAACAGTTAGGGAATGACTTCATCAAGAGCCCTGCACTTAGGGTGGCCTTTAGGAATGGAAAAGGTACAGATGTGCCTGGGAACATGAGGAGCTGTCCCTAGAACCAACACCTATGCTCAGACTCAGACGAAGTTCTCAATGGAGTGGGAAGAGGGAGGTGACTAGGGGATTATACAGGTTGTGAATTTTTACAGAACAGGAATCCAGAAGGACCATCTAGCAATAGAAGCTTTGCCCCACAGAGAACAGAGGGAGTACTGGTGAAAAGCAAGACTTAGATCTATGTGCCAAGCTGATTCTCCTAATTTCTGTGTGGTTGTCCTGGATTTATTCATTTCTAGCTCCAGCTTGAGTTCTCTGAGAAGCAGCGTCTCCCGGGCTCTAAAGTCAGTCTCCACCTTGAAGCTGCTGCTAACTCCTACTGTGCCCTGCGAGCTGTAGATCAGAGCGTCCTTCTTCTCCAGCCTGCACAAGAGTTATCTGCTGAGAGAGTAAGCCACATCCTCACTACTGTGTTCTTTTGACCTAGAGACATCCAGAATGACATTCCAATTCCCACCTGTGATGTCTCTGCTGCTGGCTGTTATTTGTATTTTTCCCTTGGAAACAGACATCTCAGTGATTAAAAAAGGTCTATGGCAGTTGTACATTTCAAAGATGGAAACTGATAGTGGAACATTTACTTTTGGAAAGCATGGCAGTGTAAGACGTATCCCAAGAACATGCCTAATGCAACTCCTTGAAAGCATAGTTGCTCCCTGGGGAGTGATTATGTCAAAACTGCATTTTATGACTCAAACAGGCCTTGGGCCCAGAACAAAAGCTGTGGATGCCAGTTAGTACCGTGTTGGACTCCAGTCTCCTCTTTGCATAACTCAGGAGTATATCTCTGTGCTTTTTGCTCAAGTTCACCCCACAAAGCCATTGCAGCTCAGAAGGAGGAGGGTAGAGTCCAGTCCTCCTTGCGTATCATCAGCCAAATTGCTTGTTCATCTCTAGGTAGGCATCACTAGGCAAACTCACCACAGTCTACAGGATTGCTCAGAGGCCATCATAAGCTTTGAATATATGTAATTTTGCACCTGCCTGGGACCTTTATTATGCTTACATTAGTCATTTTCACCTCCCAGGTGTACTACCAACTTCGTGTGAGCGATTTATATGGCTATTACTACAATGGGCTCAACCTGGAAGATGATAAGCCAGACCAGTGTACCCCAATCAAAACCACCTTTTTTGATGGCTTGTACTATGAATCTGTGAATGTCAGTCGTGATGGCGATGTCTATAGGATTTTCAGGGTATGTGCTCTGTGTGATTCTTTCAGTGGGAGGTATTCCAGAAGAATTCATGCACATTAACATTTAACTTTCTCAGGTGGTGGTTCTTACTGCTAAGAGAAGGCAGCTGATGTCTGGAACTGCCTAAAGCCTCTGATCACCCAGTTTCAGCCTTCTTATCCCCACCTCTTATTCAGGAAGACTGATAATCACTACTAGGTATATTTGCCGGGATCCTGCCCATGCTTCAGTAGACATTTCCTAAACAGGACCACGGCCTTGGCTCGTGATCTCAGACATCCCTAGTAAAGATCTGAGTCTGTGATGCAGGCCACTTCGTTCCTGATACTCTTGCCTCCACTCCCCACTGACCCCACGGCCTAAAACCTAACATAAACTCCATCATTACTGCTCTTCACAGAACACCAGGTGTCACTGCTCCATAAGAAAGACATAGAGGTTGGAGAGGAAGAGTTGTGACATTCAGGGTTGAAAGGATGCAATGTAAGGAGGGAGGAGAGAGATGAGGTATGATAACCCAGGTGGGAGAACTGGCATGCACTGGTAATGCATGCCCTGAGTGACACGATTGAATCTTTCACATTCAGGATATGGGTCTGAAGGTTTTCACCAACTCTGTGCTACGGAAGCCAGTTCTATGCAATGAAGACAAATCAGATATGGAAGATTACCCTGGCTATTTTAAGTATGATGTTGCCCATGCCAGTGGCTCTCTCACAGGTAAAAGAAGGTTCATACTGTATCTCCAGTTCCGGTCTACCTGGTCTTCAAAACTGTTGCCTGTATAAAATAGCAGCCAGTATGTTGAAGTTTTTTTGGGGGAATAGGTCTATGTGTGCCAGTTTGCCTTTAGTAATCTCTTTGTGACAGTCCTTGCAGTAGAGTCAATTCTCTCTCTTTGGTACAGGGTGCATATAAAAGAGACAGGGAATACTGGGATGCTACTTCTTTCATAAACTGGCATTAGTTTTTCAGGGTTTTTCCAGTCAGAACCTTTCAGCAAATCTGAATTCAATTAAACATTTAAAGGGAAATAATGGTAATTCCCAATGTCAAGAATTCACACAGCACTTTTAGCACATCATTTCCAAAGCTTTATAGATCAGCAACAGTTATGGTTATCCCTCTCCAAGTCAGATTGCTCAGCAAAAGAGCAAAAGTAGCATTCATAGGTTGCTGCAAGGGAAATTGCTATTCAACTCTAGGAAAAAGTTCTTCCCCATGAGAGTTGTGCTACACTAGAGGAGGTTCTCCGGCAGGTTTTGGAATCTCCATCACTGCAGATTTTCAAAACTGAGCTGGACAAGACCCTTGAGCAACATGATTGGACTAAAGAACTCCAGAGATTCCTCCCAATCTAGTTTTTTTCAATATTTCTGTCATTCTATGATTCTAAGTCCAGCAAAATAAGAAAGTATTGTTATTTCCATGATACAGCTAGGAAATCTGAGGTACTTCGATGCTAAATGAGTTGTTGGACATCACAAGTGAGTTCATGGCAAAACAGGAAAGAAGACCTTGGTTCCTAACATCAGACCTGTAGTTTGACTATAGGAACAAAAGTAGTTTTCTAATGGACTGGATATTCAACTCCAGTTTTAACTACTGAACAGGGTAAAAATGATTGAGTTCTCAGGGAGGTTTGTAAAGCTTTGGTGATAATTCTGGCTACTGTTGCCCATTTGCAAATCAAAGAGAATTAGTGGTAGAGGACAGGGAACATGCCTTTCTAACTGAATCATGAGACCTTTCAATATGAAAAAAAGTTAAATGTTTTATGAAATAGCTAAATTTTCTAGTACTTTCCCATGGGAAAAGAAATCAATAAGGAATTGTTTCTTCCAATACTCTGTTAGAATTTTCCTTTTTTTATGGGAAAAAGAATGGAAAAATCCTCAAACAGAATACTTAATGTTCATTTATGATGTTGAGCATGTCTGACAGCAGTTCAGATTCTTCTGGCCTGGTGTCTCTAATATTATACTTTAACGATACACAATCTCGTAGATGAGTCAAGAATTCTTGGTGGGGCTGGTGGTGGTGTTGGTAACACTGTTCGGAAATTCTTCCCTGAGACCTGGATTTGGGATCTAGTTCACACTGAGTGAGTATTTTTATCTTTACTTCTTACCTTTTGTGTGGCTTTTTGAGTTGATACATGTTGTTGAAGTGAATTCTGGGAAGAAGGCATGGAACATACGTCTGCTTTGTAGATGCGGGTCTCCTTTTCCCATCTTGCTGAATGACCATTGAGCTCCCAACCTTGTATAAGTGTCAAACCTACTTGAACTGTGAATGACATCAGTTCTGTGCTCTGTCCCCCACCCTTCTGATAGGGAGAAAGAATAAGGACTAAGAGTAAAATAAAAGCATTTGTTTAGGAGAGAGCAGGAGCAAAACTTGTTATTTTTCATCAAATTTTTAATTTAGCAGCAGAAAACTCAGGTTATTTTGTTTTTCTTTCCAGGTTATCACAGCATCTGCAATGAGAATATGTCCATCTTAACTGTGCATCCAGGGGCTGTTCTAGAATATTAATCCAAATGTCTTGGTTCTAATCTGTATGTTTGGGCATAGTGGTATTTAAACAAATGGTTTTTCTAAATTTAAAAAGCTGAGTACTCTTCCAAGAGCTTTTTAACATGTAGTTCACCAGCATCTTCATCTTTACTTTCAGTTTCACAATATTTTTTTAAATATGGAGAGGTATCTTGCAGAAAGTGAGATGAAAACAGAAGTACTAACTCAAGCAGGGAGCCTATTCTATAATTTGGCTTGAAAATGCCAAAGATTATTTCTCATTGTTTTTCTTATCTTCTTCAGTTCCAGGGGAGAGGTGAATGTCTTTTACACCATTCCTGATACCATCACAGAATGGAAAGCCAGTGCTTTCTGCGTGCAGGATGATGCTGGGTTTGGCATCTCCTCACATGTTTCACTGACAGCATTCCAGCCATTCTTTGTGGATCTCACCTTGCCGTACTCTGTCATTCGAGGGGAAAAATTTAATTTAATAGCCAATGTCTTTAACTACCTCAACAAATGCATCCAGGTATATCAAGTTCCCTTTTACTTCCTATATAGTTTGTCTGTTTCCCAGAGATCCCAGCGTTCTCCTGCATAATGGGGCAGAAATGCCGAAATAAGTGTTTAACATGCTTTAGCCTGATGTATTGTTCTCTCACCCTCTCTCCCTGGGCCCATCCCTGTGTCGTAACATTAAGTAAATGTGGCCAATGATCACTGTGGCTGGTCCACAGAAGATAAGAACTTGCCCCTTATCCCTTAATAATTTAGTTCTTTTTGCTCCTGAAGGAGGAACTTGAGCAGAGGGTATGGGTACTGTGCTGTGCAAAACACAGTGTGTCTGTGTATGAGTATGTTGTACGTAGCAGTAACTCGTAAGAAGACTTGACTAATGTGCACAGACACCTTGGTATACTTCTGTCAAAACCAGACACTAACAGTGGGCAGAAAAGAGACAGGTTTGGCTGTCCCATCTTTCTGTCCTGGTACTATCCCACAGATTCAGAGGACAAATAGCTTCTCCAGCAAGTTTCCCTTGCTCAGCAGCCTGACTTTAGGAGTAACCTACTTCATTTGTAATCTTGCTGCTTCTTTCTTTGCCTCAGGTCAGTGCCATACTGGCAAAGTCAAGTGACTACAAGGCAGAAATCCTTTTGCCAGAGAGCAACACAGCAACAGTGTGTGCCAATGAAAGAAAAACCTATATCTGGGCTGTTAGCCCTGACAAACTTGGTAAGTTTGTCTTTTCATTACCTTGATATCATATCCCTGTTTGATCTTTCTACCTCTGTCACTCCCATCCTTTAATGCAGCATCAATAATCCACAGGTAGGCATTTTTGGACCTCTACTAAAGTTCCCTTAGACACACTAAAAGAGGAGTGAATTGTTCTGGTGTTTTACCTCTTCTGATTTTTTGGTAGTCCATTTTCTGTCCATTTTAGGAAGAACTCTTCACTTGCCACATTATGTATGAAACACTGGCAGGATTTCATGTGTCTATAATCTCTCAGCTGTCAGTTTTGCACCTAACCAGCTGTATTCAGTAAGAATAAAATTTGCTAATAATTTTGGACGAGATACTCAATGGGCAAAGAGGACATTGCTCCTCCGTAATTTTACAGCTGTTTTAACTCACGCTGCCTTCAAGTCAACATTGTCTTTTAAAAAAAGCAATTACAATAGCTTGCATGTGTAAGTGCCCTGAAAGTTGAGGTACAAAAAACTTTTAATTAGCAAAGATTCTTCTCAAAAGGAACCACAGATAGACCTTTCCTTTAAAAGGTTGTTTCTAAAACCCCATAGTCAGTATGATTGATTTCCTTCAAACTCACTGAGAAAGATGCAAAGTTATAGTGAGATGAAAACCAGATATGCAGCAAAATAATATTGCAGAGATGAAAAAAAAGAAAGCTGCTGTCTCTCCCTGGTAACTGTGATAATAATGCATTTTGTTCCATGTAAAAAAAACTCCTTTGGCCAAAAGAGTTAACAAGGCCATTGCAAAACAAAACTTTCTTTTCTTGGGCTGATGGGTGACTTTCCAGGTGAGGTGATATTCACGATTACTGCTGAGGCCAAACTGAATACCAGAGGTACTGGAAACAACACATCTCCAGAAGAAGAGACAATTCACAAGGACACCCTGATTCAAACCCTACTTGTTGAGGTACAGTAGGAAATCTGCATGTGCTTTCTACTTTGTCGAAACTGCAATTCCTATAGCTGTGGATTAGAAGCAGTGAGCTAGTGTGAGGAGGCAAGGCAGCTGACACAGATGGAGCTGTGTACAGTAGGCTTCTCCACGTGAAAATGAGAGTGTAAATCATAATGATCAGTGGCATCCACTGTCCTCCTGCCACTGTCTCCTTCCTGGGACCATGAGCATACATACCCTGACACCCCACCGATGTCAATAGAGATGTAGCCAGAAGGGAGGAGATTCCACACCTTACCTCTAAGTGCCTTTAGCCTCTGACTGTAATACAGGGGGAGTGGGGGGGTGGGGGCTGGAGGGATGTGGAAGACAGATATAGAAGGAAAAGGACTTATCTTGAGCATCATAAAGCAGCAGGCACATAGGATTAGTTGGACAAGTCCCTCTCAGAGGCTGGAAATGTCTATTTTATAACTGCTTTCTGAGGTGCTTTCTAAGGAAGACGTTTTGGACAGGGTGTTGGGTAAAAGGGAGAGGGAGCCATGGACGAAGAGATATTCTAGTGGAGCTAGGGTAGGACTGGGTGCAAGGGGTGCACTGTCTGGATAGCCACATCAACATACTGTTTTACACCATTAAATTGTCACAGTTTCATGGTGATGTTCTACACTTTTCTTCCTCTTCCCAACCACTTCCCTGCAATCAAACAGCCTGAAGGTATTAAAAAGGAATTGACTCAGAGCTCCCTCATCTGTACGAAAGGTAAGGCAACTTCATTCATTCATTCCAGAGAGTCAGTGGAACTGTTTCACTGTCTTGTAGGTTTTGTCCTACAAAACCAGAGAGCCTCCCAGGGGAGGAAAGAGGGTCTAAGGGTCAAGGTGCTGGGCTCCAATTCAGGATTTTCAGAGGTAGCTTTGTCTTATTGGGCAAGTCTCTGCAGCATTTTCTTTGCCCAAACTGCAGATCGTAACAGTTGCTGTAGTAATGCTTACAAAGTGAAGACTTCTGGAAAAAAGATGATTTTAACAATTCTTGTTGTTACGTTTTCTCATTAGACATAATGATTTCTGAACCAGTGTCTCTCAGCCTGCCAAGAAGCCTAGTGGAGGGATCAGCCAGAGCTTATTTTTCTGTCGTTGGTAAGTTTACTACTTGGACTAAAACCAAAAGTAAATGGCATTTCTCTTCTGCTGCACCAAATGCCATTATGTATACATGTGCAAAACTAATGTAGAGTTGAGGAAATACTTAATCTTGATTTTAGAGGAAACATTTCTTACTTTGCAAAATGGCAGTGAAAGACAAAAGTTGCTCAGAATTCCTTCATATCAAAAGAGCACAAAACAGAAAAATTATTTCAACTTACATTGCATTTCAGATTATACTGCATTAGCATATCCTGTTCTGTATAGTAAAACAGTTAATTCAGCTGAAAAGTAAGATAAACCACCGAGGCGAAGGGCTCTGGAGCAGAGGACCGCCTTTGCCTCAGTTTTCAACAGCCAGACCAGTTACCCTCGAGG